GTATATATATATATATATATATATATAGAATCAAGTTTGACATCAGAGAAAGCTGCAGCCTTACAGGTTAAAGATTAGCTCAGATCAGCAGTTTTTGACTCCAGCTCTCTTCAAGCAGCAATGACACGGGCATATTTGTGTCAGAAATCATCAGAGGAGGTGCAGCAAATTCAGATGGAAGGTTGTCGCACGGTGACCAGATTTTGTCAATCAACGAGGAGGATGTTCGTGCAGCAACTCAGGAGCATGCACAGATGCTTCTCCAGGTTTGACTTGTTCTCACTTAATTACATTGCAAATGTATGTGCATGCGTAAAAACACATGTATTATTTTAAATTGTTTAATGGCTTCAACTTTGTTTTCCCATGGTGGTTGACTCTCAGAGTTGCACTGGAAGCGTTCACCTGGAAGTTGCTCGTTTCAAAGCCGGAGTGCAAAACTCTCACAGATGTCAGGTAAACTGTTTTTCTTGCCTGCTCGGGGTTAATTGGTGATGGGAAACTAAAATCAGATAATACTGATGTAGCAATAAGAGAAAATACAGTTTTCATTTGTGTGTAGTTCAGGTTTTAGTCTTTTGCACCATTTTAATATTACTATTTTGTAAACTTAGGAATATTTTAAGTTTTGTTTTATCCAGAGTGAAGACTCAGACTCTTCCACTGCGACACCTTCAAGTGGATGTGATGCAGCCTCTGGCCACCAGAGGGCAACAGAGAACACAACAGAAAGCCACAGTGAGGCCTTTGGATAACTTCTCACTCTTTAAATTAAAAGCATCAGAACTTTTTAGAAGCTTTAGTTACCTTTTTTCTAATTTAATTTTACTCTTCTCACATCTTGCAGTGCTGAAAGACCCTGACATCAGAAAAGTAATCATATCAAAGGTAACCAAACATGAACATCTGACTAATGTGTACAAGGAAGAAACTTGTCTTAAAGGTTTTTATACTTGTAGTTTAGTAGATAGAGTCAAGTTAAAGAAAACCATTGAAGGTTTTTACTGTATGTTTGGTGTTATTAAAGGGTCCATGTGACAATCTGGGCATCAGTTTAGCCGGAGGACATGGCAGTCCCCATGGCAACGTACATCTTTTTATTGCTACCATGGATACCAATGGACTGGCTGCCAAAACACAAAAACTACAGGTGAGTATTGGTTACATATGTTTGTTCAAGTCACCGTATGGTGATAAAACATACCAGATTATTCAGTTCAATAATGGTTCACAAAAAGTGCCCAGTCACACTCTTTCAGGTCATTTGTAATGGGAGGAAGAACAGTTCTGGACAAAAGGGTATTATCTCAAAATATAAATTATTACTTTAGAGCAGTGATTATCAATTGTGGATCTCTCCTGAATCATTAACGCTGCAACTTTCAAAGTCAACTTTGTGTTTAAAGCTTTTGGAGTGTGACATTTGACTTATCCCCTGAACAGGAACAGAAGCTTTACCTTCCTGTTTCCTTCAAACTTTGTTCACCAACATGGAGGCTCCATGAATATTAAAAGCACCAGGAAACACCCAAATCATGTTAATCTCCAAATTTACAAATTTTCTATTCTTAATGTTTTTTATTTGAATTTTGCTAGAAACTCAACATAAATAATAAGATTAAAATTATCCAAACAAATAATAAATTGCATTAAATATAGTATAATATAATACTAAACCTGTGATGGACTTGCGACCTGTCCAGGGTGTACCCCGCCCCTCGCACAGTGATTGCTGGACATGGGCACCAGCGATCCCCGTGACCCAAAATGGAATAAGCGGGTAAAGATAATGGATGGATGGATAATACTAAACATCATTTGGTAACATAGTATTGCATGAGAAAATATGGAGTGGCAGAGAAGTATGTTAGACTGGTACAGGACATGTATGAGGACAGCAGGAGGTGAGATGTGCTGTAGGAGTGACAGATAGCTTCAAGGTGGAGGTGGGAGTGCATCAAGGATCGGCTCTGAGCCCCTTCTTGTTTGCTCTGGTGATGGACCGACTTAACAGATGAGGTCAGGCAGGAATCCCCATGGACTATGATGTTTGCGGATGACATTGTGATCTGTGGTGGGAACAGGTGGAAGAGAACTTGGAGAGGTGGAGGTATGCACTTGAAAAAAGAAGAATGAAATTGAGCCGTAGTAAGACAGAGTACATGTGTGTGAATGACAAGCAGGAGGTGGAACAGTGAGGCTACAAGGAGCAGAGGTCACAAAGGTGCAGGACTTCAAGTACTTGGGGTCCACTGTCCAGGAAAATGAAGAATGTGGTAAAGAGGTGAAGAAGAGAGTCCAGGCAGGATGGAGTGGATGGAGAAAAGTTTCAGGAGTGATTTGTGACAAAAGGGTGTCGGCAAAGGTCACAAAAAAGTTTACAAGACAGTGGTGAGACCAGCTCTGTTGTATGGTCTGGAGACAGAGACATGGACAAAAAGACAGGAGACAGAACTGGAAGTGGCAGAAATGAAGATGTTGAAGTTCTCTTTAGGAGTGACAAGGATGGATAAGATTAGGAATGAGATCATCAGAGGTACAGCTCTAAAAGTAGTTGTATTCTAAGAAAAGTTTTGGCCCTTTCATGAATAGATACATTTTGTTGGTAGCCCCTGCTTTCGAGTTAAATCATAGACTCCCAAAACACAAACATTATAAAATAAACATTTGCCACATAAGTGTAGATTCTAAAAGCCTTCAACAAATCTGTGTGAAAGTAAATTTTGAGATAAGTGCACAGTGGAACAAGTTAGAGTATTTCTCAATGGATTTTTTTCCTCAAACGCAGAAGTAAAAGTTTGTGTGTATGTGTGTGTGTGTGTGTGTGTGTGTGTGTGTGCGTGTGTGTGTGTGTCATTCAGACCGGAGACAGGATCCTAAGCATCAATGATGTGTCCACTGTGGGAATGACTCATGACCAGGCTGGAGCCCTGCTGAACACCAATGGAACCATCAGTCTGCAGGTGCTGTCACAGTGAGACATACTGTCGTCAGTTTGTAATGACCCTCAGCCAGGATCTCTCTGTGTGATGGCGTCAGCAAAAATGTTCTTCTGCGCTGTCAAAGACAGACAGGAATGCTTCATAGTCTGCTTAGCTTAGGTCATTTTTTTTTACTTTGCTGAGAATAGGAAAAGGGCTAAGAAAAGAGTTTTGCCAGGAAGAGACCTCACATCTGAGAAGCACTGGAAAATGTACTTGAAGGATTTTTTTTACTGTTTTTTAAGGATTTCTGTGTAAAATGTACATAGACAGTAATTTGTGGTTAAAGAGGACATTATAATGCTTTTGTGTTGTACTTCTGTACCAGCCTATCGTTCCATGCACATCACTTGCTGCAATGTTTGCCAAAGTTTTAAACAAATATTTTTTGGTGTCTGTTAGTTCTCAGAGCGTGTGTTAGAGATGACTCTCAGCTACTAACAAAACAAGTTTTAGCTCACAATGTGTGAAGCTAACCGAGATCCAAGTCATTATTGAGGTTTCTTGGGTTGATTCGGTGTGGTGCCATCGTCAATGGGATAAACTCGAAAAGTTGCAAAGTTGTTGATGTACATCTAATGATTGGTTGGTAAAATTTTCGTTGGATGTTTTGCTAACAGAGAAACAAGGTTGATTTCAAAACTTAATGTGAACGTTTTACACAAAGGTCATATGGTAGCACTCAAAATACTGTATGTGTTTGGGATGACTCTCAGTCACACCTGCACATAGTTTTAACACATATTTATAAAATGGACTAAAATGGTCATGTTTGTGTTTGCTGATATGTTTTATTTGTGGTGTTTTGCTTTTTTTTTTTTTAATCAAAGTCTTTTTTTATTATTTTTTTCCATTTTGAACATACAAAACACAAAGAACGGGGGAAAAAATGCTACAGACGTAGAGCTGTGTTTCTCTCACGCATCCTAACACCCCTCTCCCCCATTTGCATCAGAACAGAAGCATTTGTAATGTGGCGGGGACATACTGGTGGGTAGGTCTGGTGGTCCTCCCCCAGAAATTTTTGAATAAAGTAGATGCCATTTTCTGCATTCTGGTATATTTTAACGGGTTGTTAAACACTCGATTCAATAACTATTTTAGAGTTGATGGCACAAGTAGTAGCCTGACCAGCAGCTCTCCTTTTGTGTACAGAGCACGCTCCGCTTCTCTCACGCATCCTAACACCCCTCCACCCCCACAGATCAGTTGTTCTTTGCCTTGAGGCGAGCCTCTGAGTGGAGGTTTTTAATGTGCTTGACAGCAAGTCTTGCAAATGTCTTCCTAAAGAAAGAGAATGTACATGTCCAAAGTGTCCAACATGTTCCTGCAGTACTGTTTGTTGTGTTATACCGTGTGTTTGAATGTGTATGACTAGGTGGCATCAGGTTTTGGTGGATTCAGCCCACAGAATCCCAGCGGTGAGGATGTCAGGTCATCAGACCTAACAAGCAGCATGACCTGCTCTCAAAATAACTTCTGGTAGGAATCTCTTCATGCATGTCTCCAGCTGCTCTGCTTTTTAATTCAACTTTGTTTTTCTCCTGGTTTGATCACAAATAAAGGATTAACCTAGACCACAGTTCATTTTACTGCAGAGCTGATGCAACCTGTGTCTTCAAAAGGTAGACACAGTAGTATGTTTGGGAATGAGCACAGATCGTTCTGCATTCTGACTCCCCGCAGCCCTCGCATGTACAAAACCATCACCTTGGAGAGGGGCTCGTCGGGCCTGGGCTTCAGCATTGTAGGAGGGTTTGGCAGCCCTCAGGGGGACCTGCCGATCTACGTCAAAACTATTTTCAACAAGGTGAGAAAAAATTACACAAGTGGGAAGGTGGTCATATCTTTTAGCATCAATTGTTTAGCATTTTATTCAAGATTTATATTTGGGGAAACTTGCTTAATTAAAGTAAAATAATTTTTAATCAAAGTGAAAATGGATGCAAAACTGACGGGTTTTCTGCTTATGCTTGAATCAGCTAGTGACGAAAACATCTTATTTGTTAACTAGCTAATAAACTCTCAGTTCATACATTAATTGTTTTGTACTTTGTAGCTGCCAAATTCATTTTCAACAAGCAGCATGGTGATGTCGCTCATCGATAAGGGATTTGAATACTGAATGTTTGTAGTTTCTTAGATGAGTGTTTTTCTGGATGGTAATTAAACCTGGTCACTGGTGGACCTGTACACAATCAAAGGGAATGTTGCACCTCTCACCACTAACAGTCTGGATTATTTTCACAAATAAAACCTCACTTGAGGTTTCTGACCACACAAACCGTTTCCTCCCTGCATTTTATAGTTTTAGCTAACATTAGCACTGTAGTATGTTGATCAAGGAGGAAGGACATTTCCTTTTGCGTTACATACATCCTGCAGAGTTAGAGGCCCTGAGCATCAAATGATTATTTCTGTAGACAATCTCAGCTACAGGTTGTCAGACCTTCTGTTGGCTGGCATGGGACCATAGGTGGTCAAAGTCTGGATGAAAAAAAATCCCAATGGGCTACAGAAACAGCTCCGGACCTTCGGCACGCGTCCGCGCTTATAAGACCTCGTGGACCGGCTACCAGCTCTCAAGATTCACTGATGGGTCTGGAGGTCTGGTTCTGCTCTGATTCTGGTGTGGTTCTGTGGGTTCAGTGCAGCTTCTCTGCATCCGCTGTGCACTGATCGGATCAAAACTTTATCTCTGGTTTATTCAGCAGAAGGAAACGAGGCTTCTAGGTGGGGCCCTGTTGCCTTCTGGGAAATGTGGTTGTTATGAGTGAGAATACCAGTGGAGGCTTACTGAGGGAAAACTGCAAAATGGCAGCACCTGTCACAAGTATTTTATTTTTTCCTTATCTTTTTACTGTACAGGACTGTATCCATTACTGTCCCAATCACATTAGTATTAAAGTTGATAATCATGTGTCCTATACAGATCTTATTTTTGTACAACATTATGTACTGTACATCCAACAACCGCGATAGAGCGAGTCTGCGAAAGTTGAACCGTGAAGTAGCGAAGGACTGCTGTACTTCTAACAGTTTGTTGACAGGCGTGTAATGTGCTGTAGGCAGTACTCTTGTTCGACCTTTTCTTTAATATAGGATCATGTCAATACTTTCTAGAACTTCTTAAATTAGTTAGAAAATGAAGATGTACTACATGGACATAAATAGTTTTTTTTTTTATTTTGTTCTTGTATTTGATAAATTGCCTGAAAAATCATAACTACTACAACATAAAATATTGCATATTCTAGTTGTTGATGCTATTTAAAAAAAATTCCATCTTTCAAAATTACTGTGGAACTAGTGGAAATAGTGAACTCTGGTCTGAACTCTGTGTCTGACTTCTCTCGCTCTCGCAGGGTGCGGCCGCTGAAGACGGCAGGCTGAAGCGTGGCGATCAGATCATTGCTGTGAACGGACACTGCCTGGAGGGCGTGAGTCACTCTGAAGCTGTGGATATCCTGAAGAAGACCAAAGGAAATGTAGTCCTCACTGTGCTCTCCTGAGATTACCTCATTTGACTTAATCTGACTGAAACAACTCTGAATGGAGCAGCTTCTTGTAGAACTGCTTCACCCAAGACTGACCGAGGGGAACGTCTAGCTCTGTAATTAATTTGGGAAAGCTACCTCCAGCCTCAAACTCAGCTCATGTGTTTTTATTTGTGCTTGATATTCTAACGTTACACAAATATTCTCCGCACATAATGTTTCATAAAAAAAACATCACTTGTAAGACTTGCTAATATAAATGAACGTACCTAAATCTTTGAGCAGTGCTGTATTCATTAGCAGTATTGTTCATATAAATGCATTCGGGGGCCGAGATGGTGTAGAGGCAGGGCAGCGGGCTCAGGACCTGAAAGTCCCAAGTTTGATCCCCAGTAATTGCACATCTCGTGGCCTCTCTGAGGAGCACACCCTATCCCCAAATGCTCCCTAGGCACTTTCAATAGCTGCCTGCTGCTCCACCTGGTGGTGGATGGGTTAAATGCAGAGAGCCAATTTAGCCATTGTATGGGAAGATACAATGATGACAACACATAACACAATATTATCATTATTATTATCATGCATGAAATACAGTCCACAGAAATTGTGTTTATGAAAACTAACAAATAGAAGTGATCAAAATAAGAAAAATAGTCACATGTGCAGTATTAATACTGTCCCGTCAACCTCTGTTCAATCCAAGGTGAACTCCTCTAAGTCCCTCAACATGCCAAGTTTTTCTGCCAATATTTTATATGGCAACAGAGTTCTAGAAGAGTTACATTCAAAGCATATTTTCTTTATGTTCTCATATTACAGTGATTAAATATGTGTCATAATGTCTTTAAAAACACATAAATGTCTTAAATATTTTGCTGATAATTAGCAATAGTGTTAACCATATGTTGCATTTAAACACATCTCATATTTTTTTATAGCAGCTGCTTTGAATGAAGTCACTTTCAATTGTTTTCATGGTCTCAAGCTGAAGCTGCTGCTTTTTATAGCTAAAAGGTTCAGTCGTATTTAGGTTTATTTTGTGTAAATTTATGACAATTTTATATTTTACCTGTTGCATATTGCTTCTTGTTAAGCCTCAAAGAATAAGAATTATGACTTGAATGATGAGCAAATAGTAGGTTCTAATTAGACAATATTTTAACTTTTCACCTGCTGACAAGTTTGCAATGAATTGGTCTTTACGTGACGTTATGGCTATTTACAAGAATAAATATAAAAAAACACCTACTGTAGTAACATGTAGCATTTCCTGGTCATCCTGGGGTAGTTCTGTAAAATTAATTAATTAATGTGAAATTGACAGCATGTAAACGTTTAACTAATAGTGTTTGCATGAATTGTAAGTTTTGAAGAGCTGGAACCATTTTCCAGGAGTTGCCGTTATTTTTTCAGAAGCAGTGTCAGCACAGTAGTGAAGCTTTAAGTACCACCTACTCACCAATCACTGAGTTTTACGACTTGTTTTTAAAACATGAATTGACCAAATACAACTAAACTTGTTAGAAATAAAAAATATATATATTAAAATATACAATGGTAAGGTTAGGTAAGAGGCTTTTTTCTGAGGTAGGTTTTATTTTGTAACAAGGGTTACACCATTGCACCATTTGTTTATATGATGGGGCGAGACTTGAAAAAAGTTAGTCCTGCTTTGGCTTCAACTTCCCGGTTACGTTCCGAGATCTACCGTATTTTTTGCTGTATAAGTTGCAGTTTTTTGCATAAATTTGTATGCCTGCGACTAATTGAACACTACCATCTTCAGCCACTAGAGGGCCCCCGACTAATAAAGCAAGCCAAGTGTCTCATTCATAGATAAAAGTGGCTATTAATTTGACTCTTGGCTTGCTATACAAAGTCACCTTCGTCTCGCTCCAGAACTCCTGGAGCAAACGTCAAATCAGCTGCACTTTGCCGCGCCGCCCAGGTGAAATGCAGCTGATTTGACCATTAAAGTGCATTTATTAAGGAAAAGTTAAACTGAGACACACCTTTGCTATAATTTTGAGCAAATAAATAATTGTTTTTAAGTGTTAATCTTGTTAAATTCTTGTTAAAGTCCTCCCTTGCATGCTCCTGCGACCTTCATTTGGCAGCCAATCCATTTTTGGCACAACACTGGCCCATGTTTCTGGGTGGTTAGCAGTGATGCATAACAAACATGACGCGTCATCAGTAACGCATAATAGATGCAACTTATACGGCGAAGTGACGTATTTATGTTTTTTCCACTTTATTAGACATATTTGGACTGATGCAACTTATACGGCAGTGCAACGTGTATGGTGGCAAATGCAGTACTTATTTTGTACCTATACTTCCTAAATGAATTGCTGCCATCTTAAAATAACTCCAGTGTTCAGAATATCACAGTAGTAACCATGTGAAATACAGTAACGTGTAAATTAATATATTAGGCAAAACTGATGATGGTGTACATAAAATATAAAAAAAATATATACCAGCAGTTTTAAGACAACAGCAATCCGAGTAGGTTCATTGAAGCTAGACTCAATATGTTTTACTGAGATGGAATTGTTTTAAGATCCACTTTGATTTCAGGGCAGATTTAACCTCTTCTGCCCCAAATAGTCATTCATTCAAGAAGCTATTGGCAACAGGTAAGATATTTTACACAGAAACCCACTTCAAGATGGCCATTTTGATTGTAATGTTGCTCTAGTGTCATGTACAACCCTTGTTAGACACCTGTTTTCTATGATTTAATTTACATTCAAACTGTTTTTTGTAATTCCTGATGTTTAACGTAAAGTGGTTCTCCTCATAGCCGGAGGACTCACACTTGTGTGCATTATGTATCACTGTAATTTATTTACTCTCTGTATTAAATGTTCTTTTGTTCGAATTTGTACGTAAAACCACAATACTTAAATTATTTAGTTACTTGGGAAAACATCTGTTTTTCTTTAGACATTTATATGGGACATCTTCCGCAGAACGAGAAGTAAGATCATATCCCACTTTTTGACTTCCAAAGCCACAAACTCTCAATTACATCACTGGTTAAACTGGTGACAACTTGACAAACAATACTATTGCCCACAAATGTCTCATTTAGGAAATGGGAGGCATCTCGGGAGAGCCTGTCTGGAGCCATCGCATTAATCAAAGCCATCTGTTCACATTGCAAGCTTTACTGAAAGGCAGCCATCGCAGTCTGCTTCATCCTCGTCCACGTGAACAATCGCTCACCTGCTTATATGAGAACAATTATTTAGGGTGAAGAAATGACAAAATTAAAAGGCTTTTCAGGCTAATTCCATTCTTAGAATGTAAAAAAAATTATTTGTTTTATAAATATAAGTTGTTGTTTAAACTAAAAAATACATTAGAAATCCTTCAGATTATGTTAGTAACATGACTTTTGGGGCGTAACAAAAGCAGTTTTCACATCCTTTAACATTTATGAACATTCTTGTTGCCTTTTTCACCTCATGGCCTTTCTCACATTTCCACCTGTGCTTGTAAAACTCAGCACGTGGCAGAATTATAGTTTCAGCCTCTAAAAACTATCAGTAAAGTTTACGCTGCATCTTAAAATAACTCTCCTGAGAGTGTGCTCAAACGGCACTAATGATCCTCAGTCTCAGGAGGGTAACTTGGGCCAAATGATTGTTCTGTGTGGGACTGCCAAGTCCTCCATATTCATATAGTACAGCCACAGGAATGTCTTTTGGCTGTCAGTGTAACCCGGTGCTTTAGAGAGAACAGCCAAAAGTGATTTAGAAATAAATGAAAAGGGTATATATTTTTAGGAAATCACCCTGCAGTGCAGATATGACAATCCAATGTGATTCCATCCGGTGCTGAGTCTGTAGATTTAGCATCTCTTAAAGCAAGATATAAATATCCCAACAGGAAGTGACTGTACTTACTGTAGACTTACTCTTAATTGCAGCTATAAGTTTAGGTGCCGCTATATTCATGTCATTCCCAAGCGCTGAGTTGAGAGTATTTCTAGGAAGTGAGCCAGACTCCTTGGAAACTTGGTACATCGGACCACGAACACCCGCGTCAATCATTTCCACTCCGTGTAATCGCCTGAAGCAAAAAAAATTATTATATTCAGTGAAACAGTAACAGAAGGCAGCCTCTGCACATCCTGGAGGTCAGGACTTATAAATCTTTCCACTTTTATTAGACAAAAGTGCGCAGGATAAATGATCGCTTCAGTTCAGATTGTCAGCGTTTCACTCGTTTAGAAAGGACAGGAATAATCCACACGTTTTGACGTGTGGTCCTGTGCAAAGGTTATAAACAGTGAATGTCTTACCTGTTGTAAATCACTCTTGTAATGATCTCAGCTTGGAGAAACAGAGTCACTATCAAACTAGACTGATAAATTAACAACTTGCCTGAGCTTTGATTAAAGTAGATTACTATTTGCTTCCGCGTTTGACCAAAGAGACAGGATGCCAGGGGAACCCCCTGGACAGGTCTCCAGTCCATTACAGGGACACATAGAGACAAACAACCATTCACTCTCTCACTCACACCTAGAGACAATTTAGAGTTACCAATCGACCTAACATGCCTGTTTTTGGTCTGTGGGAAGAAACCTGAGTACCTGGAAAAAAAACAGGCATGCATGGAGAGAACATGCAAACTCCACCCAGAAAGGCCCCCGGACCAGGATTTGAACCAGGGTAACCTGCTTGCTGAGAGGCAGCAGCTCTACCAGTTGTGCCACTGTGCTGCATGGCAGTATATCAAAAATTAAATTAGGACTTTGTACCATTCATAAAATAAAGTAATTTCAAATTTTATGGCAGCAGCACATTTCAAAAATTTGAGATAGACTGATATTCACCACTCGAAGCATCCCCTCTTCTTGAAACACCAGTCTGTAAACATCTAGGAACTAAATAGATAATTTATTGGAGTTTTCTGAGGGGAACATTTTGTTCATGTTTGATGGATTCTAGAGGTTCAACATTCCTTGGTCTTCTTTACTAATATCAATTCAATTCAGTTTATTTATATAGCGCCAAGTCACAACAAAGTTGTCTCAGGGCACTTTACAGGAACATTCACATACATAAAAGCTAAT